CGGCGACTGGAGGACGAGATGGCGCCTGATTGCTGGCATATGATGCAGCAGATGCAGAATGAAGAGAAAGCTTACAAGTTGCTTGATTTTGATTTTCTTGGTGGCTCTATGCTTGCTGATATTGTTGCCCCTTATGTGTATGCTTGCTGGCAGATCTGTTGGAAGGTTAGGAATGAGGAGGTCCGCTCTAATGAGCGCGAGGCCGATGGCAGTGATGCTATGGTATGAGTAACTTATATATCTATCTATCTATAAGATGTTCCCGGAACACAACGTCAAACACCCCTAGAGATTTTCAGACTAAACTGGGCAGGAAAATTCGGGCTGCTGCAAATGAAACACTGCACGGCCTGGACATTGCTTGGTACGATTGAGGGCTGGGGGTGCAAACATCATTTATTGCATGCCGCTTGTAAAGGCCACCCGCTGCATGCTTTCAGCAGTGGGCAGGGTCAGGAAATAAAGAAGGAAACAGGGTCCAAGATCATATGATAACAGCCGTGGCCGCACCGGAAAATCGGGCCAATGCTGCCCTGATTGACGACGGGGTTGCGCAAGTTGACGGAGCTGCTGGTGGTGGTGCCGCCGTTGAAGCCCACGCCGGCGCTGGTGAAAGGATGAGGATTAATCTTGTTTCGGGATCCCGCGGTCGCCCGCTCATGGAGCCATCCAGGCTCATGGGGCATGACTTGGTAGCATCGGCATTGTGTCACAGGGACTCAAGCGGCCACTGTTCGCCGTTCAAAGCAGGCGTGCACAACGGCGGGGCTGAGGGTATGCTGGTCCGCACCGCACACAAGGGCGCTCATCCGGCGGGCATGTGCAGGCAGGTCTGCAAATAGGGTTGCAAAACGGAAGGTGGCCCGCAGGTCTGCCTTGGCAGAGCGGGTTGAAAAAGGTCGAGCGGCCAAGGTTGGCAGCTGCGGCGGCCTGCTCGCCCAGGCGGCGGAGGATCCGGCCAAAGCCGCCCTCGTTGACGACGGGGTTGCGGAAGTTGTCAAAGCTGGTGGTGGTGCCGCCGTTGAAGCCCACGCCGGCGCTGGTGAAGGTGGTGGTGCCGCCAAAGTTGGTGATGGCGGCGCCGTCCGAGGGCGCAAAGCCATCCGTGCGGCCGCCGGTGGCCATGATGTTGGCCTTCTCGCCCAGCTCGCGTCGAATCACTCCTTCGGCGCCCTGGGTCAGGCCGCCGGCCTTGAGGGACGCACCCAGCGCGCCGGGCGCAAGGAGAAGGGCCACTGCGCATGGGGTGCGGGATGACACAGATGGGTTTGTCACAAGCAAGGAAGCTGCTGGCGGTGGCGAGGTTGTGTTTTGTCGAAGTCCGTGGGCCTTGATGGAGCAGGTACTGTTCACTCACAAACAAAGCATCTGTCCAGCGCCGCACACCAGCCACAGACCGCGCAGCGTGCGGGCGCGCAGTGCCATCATCCAGCAGCTGCAGCTGAGCTCGATTTCAGCCAAAGGCCACGAGGCGCACCGGCAAGGACCGCCCAGCAGCCGCGAGCCATTGCAGAGGCTCTTTGAAGCAGGTGCGGTTTCGTCTGAAGTGGCCTAGTCGACGATCTTTAGTGCAGCTGCTCGCTGTGGTCCTGTGGACGAGTAGGACCGTTCGGAGATAGAGTGCCCGCGGGGATGAGTTTCTGCACGGGTCTGTTGATGATGGTAATACTGTATCCGACGTGGTGACCAGAATGAAGGGCCTGTCATTATATCAGCCTTTACAGGAGAGCGCCGCCCAGCTGCCACGTCGCTGCGCACTGCTGGGCGGTCTCACCCGGCCGAGTCACCAGCCCGCGCGCTGCGCGGCAGCAGCCTGGGCATGGGCGTTGGACGGTGCAGCGGGACCTGCGTCCCGTAGAGGAAGATGCATGATACCGGGGCTTCCCTGGCCCGCATGCATTGAGCACTACAGGGCGACATGTGCAACCAAGCAACTGCGGCGCACGTACACCAGGTAGGGGCCTCATCAGCAGTCGGGGCGCAGACAAGCACGCGCTGGACGGTGCACAGCCATGCATGAGCACGCATGCATGCGATCGGCCTGGGAGTACTTGCGAGCAGGCGCACGCATCAAGTTGCGTTAGCACATGCATGAGTTTCGCCCAGTAGTTGTGTGCATACCGCTGGTGCTGGCAGGGCAGTTGAACGTGCACACCAAGCATGGGGCGCGTTCATGAACCTGGCACACGGTCATCCACCTGCCCGCCACGGGCCCTTAACAAAATCCAGAGTGAGCAGTGTCGCAGCTGCCCCATCCCACGCCTTGAAGCCCACTCCGCGAGGGATGCGGGAAGTCATGCGGTCGTGTGCACGCAGCAGCTCAGAGCAAATCAGCTGAATGCAGGCTGGGGTGCGGCGCGGCTGTACCACCAAGCAAGGTAACGAAAGCTCAATGTTGTGGGACCGACCTGACCGGATGTGCCCGCGCCATGAGCCGCCTCGCGCAAGATGTCACAGCTGGTGTTGGTGCCGAACTACACTTGAACTGATGCCAGCGGCGGTGAAGGTGGCGCCATGCACCGGGGCCGTGGCGGTGCGGAGTTGCCTACTGTACCCGGCCTTGCATGCCCGTGTTGCTGCTCTGGGTCCAGCGCCTGGCCGCTCGCGCTGCTGTGGGTCAGGCAGTCAGCACCGGTCCTGGAGATGTTGCGGGCGCATTGGTGACATCATTTACACCAACAATGTTTTTCTCACATGGTTTACACCATTCACTCCCCTCCACTCGTAAATCACCTGTCCTGGGGGCACACACCACACACTTCAATCAAGTGTACGGCTGGCTGGGCGTGACCAGTCACGGAGGAATTGGTGCTTCACAAGTAATTACTGTAGTACAGTAGCTTGGGCATTAGTAGTGCCGGAGGTACATAAAGGATGGAGCACAATTGTTGCAGTCTGTTGGAAGGGGCCAACCGCACGCTGCATTGTTCCAGCAACAGGCGCACCCTGCTGCTTATTGAGATGCAACAAAATAGCTCGGGCAAACAAGCTTGGCCCATCAAAAAATCTGGCCAAAGCCACCCTCGTTGACGACGGGGTTGCGCAAATTGACAGAGCTGGTGGTGGTGCCGCCGTTGAACCCCACGCCGGCGCTGGTGAAAGCATGAGGATCAGGATTGTTACGGGATCCCGCGGTCGCCCGCTCCTGGAGCCATCCAGGCTCATGGGATATGCTTGGTAGCATCGGCATTGTGTCACAGGGACTCAAGCGGCCACTGTTCGCCGTTCAAAGCAGGCGTGCACAAAGGTGGGGCCGATTGTATGCTGGTCCGCACCGCACACAAGGGCGCTCATCCGGCGGGCATATGCAGGCAGGTCCGCAAATACGGTTGCAAAACGCAGAGCGGCCCGCAGGTCCGCCTTGGCAGAGCGGGTTGAAAAAGGTCGAGCGGCCAAAGTTGGCAGCTGCGGCGCCCTGCTCGCCCAGGCGGCGGAAGATCCGGCCAAAGCCGCCCTGGTTGACGACGGGGTTGCGGAAGTTGTCAAAGCTGGTGGTCAGGCCGCCGTTGAAGCCCACGCCGGCGCTGGTGAAAGAGGTCGAGCCGCCAAAGTTGGTGATGGGGGCGCCGTCAGAGGGGGCAAAGCCAGACGTGCGGCCGCCGGTGGCAAAGATGTTGGCCTTCTCGCCCAGCTCGCGTCGAATCACTCCTTCGGCGCCCTGGGTCAGGCCGCCGGCCCTCAGGGACGCACCCAGCGCGCTGGGCGCAAGGAGCAGGGCCACTGCGCATGGGGTGCGGGATCACACGGAGGGGTTCGTCACGAGGAAGCTGCTGGCGGTTGCAAAGTTTTGTTGTGTCGATGTCTGTGGCCTTGACGGAGCAGGTACACACACAAAGACAGCATCCATCACCGCCCACACACCAGCCACAGACCGCGCGGCGTGCGGGCGCGCAGTGCCATCATCCCGCAGCAGCTGCTCAGCTCGATTCAGCCCAAGGCCACAAGCTCAAGGCGCACCTGCAAGGACCGCCCAGCAGCCGCGAGCCATTGCAGAGGCTCTTTGAAGCAGGTGAAGTGGCCTATTAGACAATCTCTGGTGCAGCTGCTCGCTGTGGTCCTGTGGACGAGTACCGTTCGGAGAGTGCCCGCGGGGATGGGTTTCTGCACGGGTCTGTTGATGATGGTACCGTATCCGATGTGTTGTTCAGAATGAAGGGCTGACTTCCTAAGCCTTTAAAGGAGAGCGCCAGCCGCGCCGCACGGCCCAGCTGCCACGCCGCTGCGCACTGCTGGGCCGTCTCACCGGGCCAAGTCACCAGCCCTCGCGCTGCGTGGCAGCAGCCTGGGCATGGGCGTTAGACGGTGCAGCGGCAACTGCGTCCCATACATGAAGATGCATGAAGCCAGATCTTCTCATGCATTGAGCGCTACAGGGTGAGATGTGCAACTGCGGCGCACACCTGGGGCCTCATCAGCAGTTGGGGCGCAGAGCAGCATGCGCTGGACGGTGCCCAGCCATGCATGAGCACGCATGCATGCGATTGGGGTGGGAGTATTGGCGACGAGGCGCACGCACCAACATGCATGAGTCGCGCCCAGCAGTTTTGTGCATACCGCTGGTGCTGGCAGGAAGCTCAACGTCCACATTCAACGTGCACACCAAGCATCGCGCGCGTTCATGCACCTGGGACCACCACGGGCCCTGAGCACAGGCTAGAGCGAGCAGCGTCGCAGCTGCCCCATCCCACGCCTTGAAGCCCACTACACGACGGAAATGGGAAGTGATGCGGTCATGTGCGCGCAGCTCAGGGCTAATCAGCTGAACTCAGGCCGGGGTGCAGCGCAGCTGTACCACCAAGCAAGGTGGCGGAAGCCCAATGTCATGGGACCTGACCGGATGTGCCCACGCAATCGATGAGACGGCTCGCATAAGATGTCACAGCTGGTGTTGGTGCCGCGATTCACGTGAACGAATGTCAGCGGCGGTGAAGGTGGCGCCATGCACCGGGGCCGTGCTGGCGCTGAGTCGCGTACCCGGCCTTGCTTGCCCGTATTGCTGCGCTGGATCACCTCGCCCCTCGCGCTGCTCTGGGTCAGCCAGTCGGCACCGGGCCTTGAGATGTTGCAGGCATATTCGTGACATGATTTACACCAACAATGTTTTTCTCACATGGTTTACACCATCCACTCCTCACCAACTAAAAACAACTCTCCTGGGGGCACACACCACGAACCCCAACTAAGTGTACGGCTGGCTGGGCATGACCACTCACGGAGGGATCCCTGCTTCTCAAGTACGTAGAAGCCTGGGCACTGTTGCCGGAGGTAAAAAAGATGGAGCTGTAAGCACAGTTGTTGCAGTCATTTTGAAGGGGCCAACCGCTGCATTCTTCCAGCAACAGCCGCACCCTGATTATTGACAGCTGGCAATTATGCAACAAATAGCTTGTGCCAACAAGCTTGGCCCCATCAAAAAATCTGGCCAAAGCCGCCCTCGTTGACGACAGGGTTGCGGAAGTTGTCAAAGCTGGTGGTGGTGCCGCCA